TCTGGAAACAGAGAATAGTTTGAAGAAAAGAAATATTTTTTATGGATAAAGACATTAAACATTTAAGCTGTCCTCTCTATTTTAATGAAATCATTATGTTACTAATTACATGATTTTATTTCCTCTTCACATCACTGGTACTAGATGTCCTCTGATGATTATTAACAGATTCTACCATTTTGATATGAGCCCTGGCACATTAGTTACATATTATTACTTCTTGGAGATATTGCAATAACAGAAGTTGGCCTAACATCAAAGAACCAGGCTAGAACTTTTCTTCACTTTCTAATTTTTTGCTCATAAAAATGTACAATTTAACTGATTTTTTTATTTTATCCTTGCATATTGCAGCAATGAAAATGGGAAACAATGGTGCAGATCCCTATGTAGACTATTCCAACATTGTAGAGATCTCAACCAAAGAAACATACGGAATTCCCCTGTTGGAAGGGCTTTCCACCTTTACTTACTTTTAATACGATTATTGCTTTCTACAGAGCATATAACTGTGTTGTTGGAAATAGAAATGTGATGCATAATTTCTGTTCTCAACTTAATTAAAATAGAAAAAGAATCAAAACTTAAGACAAATGAAAAGTCTCACATCAACACAATTGAATAATCAATATATTGTAATATAACATGAAATATACTCTGTCATAGGAACAAGGCTCCCATTTTGCAGTTTTGACATTTCCCAGTTGGCTCTTTAAATGATGCTTATTTAGCATTCATCCCTTTGAAAAAAAAGATCATATGAATAAGCTCCATGGCCTTGCTGAGGGTCAGCCAGTCCCAGGCTTCAAAAGAGACAGAATCAAATTATAAAACCTACTGATAATGCAATCTGTAAATCAACTTCAGGTTTTTAAGGCAGCATATAGGGAATAAAGACATCAATCCAGAATCCTCTCACACTTAAGATAGTAATTTGAGATTTATCTGCAATAATTTCTGCAATGCTGTCATATAGAATATGTGTCTATGGATTTGAAACAACATAAAATTCACTTCTTTTATTTGTGCCTTAAATCCTGATAACTTGCCCTAAAACAATTTCTTTTTAAAAATAATGTGTTTTCAGGTGCATTCTCCCTCTGGGGATCACTGTCCCCAGCTTTAATAAACATCCTCTAATAATCACCTAGACTCGTATTGTGAAATCTTTCCTGCATGGAGTTAAGAACCCACACACTGCTGGCTGGCCTAAGGCACACCCACTCAGAGCCAGGTTCCCTTTCCGGTAAAATCTTTTCAGACCAAAAACACAAGGCCTCTCCCCCAAGATTATGGACAAAGAATCTTCCTCCCAGACCAAGGGCACAGGACCACTCTCCCCCAAGACCAAAAACACAGGACTCTCTCTCCCCCTGTCCCATTGAAAGGGTTTTCTCCTTGGGAAGTAAAAGAAGCCATGTTACTCATCCTGCCCCATCTACCTGTTGATGAGGCTAATTCCAACTGAGTATGGTGGAGAGGTGGGGGGGAGGGGAATCCCTTCTTCCAGCCCCTACACATGGAATAGAGGGTCTACCTTGGTTACAGTGTATGAGGACACTTGGGCCCTGATAACCACAGTGGTTTCACACCAGGAAAGGCAAGAAGAGTGGACCTCAGGCTGCTACTTACCCCTCTCCCCACCAGTACTCAGCTCCTAAACGGAAGGATATTTTACTGGAAAGGGGACCTGGCCCTGAGCAATCTGCCTAGACTAATAGCGTGTGGGGTTTTGACTTCATGCAGGAAAGATTTCACAGCTCAAGTCTGGATGACTTTCAGAGGATGTTTATTATTAAAACTGGGGACAGTGAAACAAGAGAGGACTTAGGCTAGAAGCAACAGGAGAGGAAATGAGCCTCAATTGGGCTGCTTTGGCTCACTGAGAAGTCAGAGTATGGAGGGCCTTGGGGACAGGTTCAGGATGAGTTGATACTGCCCATTATTCCCTGGTGGCAAGCCTCATGGATTCCCTTAGAATTTAGGACATGCCTACTTGTAGGGGAAGAAAGGAAAGGTGCAGGCATGCCCTGGGAGGGAGAGTTCTTGCTGGGTCCTTTGTCCTGAGACTTTTATCTCTTTCTTGCAGTGGGGATCTTAGTGGACCTTTTAGGAGAGTTTCCGCAGAATATTCATCAGTTTTCCAGGTTTGCTCTTTCAGGGTCACGGTCTCCACTGGTTGGTCAGTGCCAGGGCAGGGGGCCATTAGTCATTGCAGCTGGTCCTGGCTTCACCCACCTGGTTTTGCTGCCTTTCTGGGCCTGGAGCTGAAATACAACCGAGGCCTTTATGCTATCCCTGGGGAATCTTTTTTTATGGATCTTTCTAAAGATGTACATATTTGCATGATTATAGATCTGATTATAATGCAACTTTGCTTTTCTGTAAGACATAGCATCCCAAGATAACAATTTCTTGGTAAATAATAATTACTATTAAAATGACATAAAAGAACAATACAAAGTCCACATTTTTTTTAGACTCAGCACACAGTGTAAAAATATAAAGAACAAATAATATGCATGACTTCAAAACACTGCAAATGTTTATTGGGAGTGTGTTTTGAGCACTGGAAACAATTCATAAACACACCAATGGATGGGCCACAAACATCCAAGGACCTACTGCCCAAAGCCCCCAAGGGCCCTACCATTCTTGCTTGCCTGCTGACAGGACACCTACTACCCGAGAGCTCCCTGTTTCCCTGTTTGACCATGGCTCTGCATCTTTACAAATTTCTCCCTAAGGCAGGATGTAATCTCTAGGACATCCATTTTAATAAAAATAGATGTATACAAATAGAACATAGGTTGGGTTGTTTTTTTTTAATTTTTTTTTTTTGGCAAATCTTTCCATGTAATTTCAAGCATATCAAATCTGTCTCATTAGTTTAAAAAATATATATGTGCTTTCAATATGGAACACTTTCAATTTTATATTTTTAATATCATGCAGTAAAATTGACTCTTTTTTTTAATATATTTTATTAATTTTTTACAGAGAGGAAGGGAGAGAGATAGAGAGATAGAAACGTCAATGAGAGAGAAACATCGACCAGCTGCCTCTTGCACACCCCCTACTGGGGATGTGCCCGCAACCAATGTACATGCCCTTGCCCGGAAACGAACCTGGGACCTTTCAGTCTGCAGTCCGACGCTCTACCACTGAGCCAAACCGGCTTCGGCTAAAATTGACTCTTGTTATATTGTCCAAGTTAAACACTGGGATACCAAATGGACCCATAATCCCATAATCTCCAAAGAACCATCTTGTATTTCCCCTTTATGGCCCAATACACACCCCTCCTTATCCCCCTGAAGTAGTTTGCACCACTATAGTTGTATCTATTCAAGCGTCATATAAATCAAATCACATCAAAATCATTGATTGTGTAAACATTTGGTACTGGCTTCTTCTCATTTGTAGAATGCATTTAATTAATTAATTAATTCTTTATTGATTAAAGTATTACATATCTTCCCCTTTTTCCCCATTGACCTCTCCCCAGCCACTCACATCCCCCAGCACATGCCCTCATTCCCTAGTGTCTGTGTCCATTGGTTATGCTTATATGCATGCATACAAGTCCTTTGGTTGACCTCTTACCACCCCCACTTCCCTGCCTTCTCTCTGAGGCTTGACGGTGGTCTGTTCAATACTTCTCTGTCTCTGGATCTGTTTTTGTTCATCAGTTTATGTTGTTCATTAAATTCCACAAATGAGGGAGATCATATAATATTTATCTTTCTCCAACAGGCTTATTTCCCTTAACATAATGCTCTCCATGTCCATCTGTGCTGTTGTGAATGGTAAGAGTTTCTTCTTTTTTTACAGCAGTGTAGTATTCCATTTGTAGATGTACCACAGTTTTTTAATCTACTCATCTGATGATGAGCATTTAGACTGAGTCCAAATCTTAGCTATGGTGAATTGTGCTGCTATGAACATAGCAGTGCAGATATCCTTTCTGATTGGTGTTTCTAGTTTCTTGGGATATATTCCTAGAAGTGGGATCACTACGACAAATGGGAGTTCCATTTTTAATTTTTTGAGGACATTCCATACTGTTTTCCACAGTGGCTGTACCAGTCTGCATTCCCACCAGCAATGCACAAGGGTTCCTTTTTCTCCACATCCCCTCCAGCACTTGTTTGTTGATGTGTAAATGATAGCCATTCTAACAGGTATGAGGTGGTACTTCATTGTCATTTTAATTTGCATCTCTCAGATGATTAGTGACTTTGGGCATGTTTTCATATGTCTCTTGGCCTTTTGTATGTTCTCGTTTGAAAAATGTCTATTTAGGTTCTTTGCCCATTTGTTGATTGGGTTGTTTATCTTTCTTTTGTCAAGTTGTATGACTTCCCAGTAAATTTTAGAGATTCAACACTTATCGGTGATAACATTGCCAAATATGTTCTCCCATGCAGTGGGCTTTCTTGTTGTTTTGTTGATGATTTTTTTTGTGGTGCAGAATCTTTTTTATTTTAATATAGTCCCATTTGTTTATTTTTTCCTTAGTTCCCATTGTCCTATGAGCTGTATCAGCAAAGATATTGCTATGACATATGTCTGATATTTTACTGCCTGTGGATTTCTCTAAGATTTTTATGGTTTCCTATATTCAGTTTAAGTCCTTTATCCATTTTGAGTTTGTTTTTGTGTATGGTGTAAGTTGGTGATCTAGTTTCATTTTTTTTGTATGTTTCTGTCCAATTTTCCCAACACCATTTATTGAAGAGACTATCTTGATTTCATTGTATGCTCTTTCCTTCTTTGTCAAATATTAATTGAGCAAAATGGCTTGGGTCAATTTTTTAGTTCTCTGTTCTGTTCTATTGGTCTCTATGTCTGTTCTTGTGCCAGTACCAGACAATTTTGTGTACAATGGCTTTATAATATAGCGTGGTATCTGGTATTGAGAGCCTTCCTACTTTGTTCTTTCTCAGATTGCTGCGGCTATTCAGGGTCTTTTTTCATTCCATATGAATTTTTTGAGAGTTTGTATAGAACACTTCACGAATGTGTGTGTCATCTTTGCACAGGGCCATGCTATTCTTTGTATCGTTCTGATTTTAGTATATGTGCTGCCAAAGCAAGCACTGTATAATGCATTTTAGATTCAAGTTGCTGCACATATTAGTAGTTTGTTGAGTTTTGTTGTGGTGGTGATTCTTAACTGCTTAGTTGTATTCCTTTAGATATTTACCACATTTTGTTTATTCTTTAATCCATTAAAAGACATGAGGAGCCTGGTTGGCATGGCTCAGTGGTTTAGCATTGACCTATGAGCCAGTAGGTTATGGTTCAGTTCCTGATTAGGGCACATGCCCAGGTTGTGGGCTCTATCCCAGTGTGAGCATGCAGGAGGCAGCTGATCAATGATTCTCTCTCTTCATTAATGTTTCTATCTCTCTCTTCCTTTCTCTTCCTCTCTGAAATTTAAAAAAATACATATTTTTTAAAAAGACATGTAGACATGTTCCCAATTTACTATAATTAGGGATAGAAGTACTATAGACATTTATGTACAATTTTTTCAGTGCTCATAAATTTGTATTTCTCTAATGTACATAGGAGTGGTATGACTGAGTCATACAATAAATATATGGGTTCTTTTATAGATTTTCATAACTGATTTTTAGAGACAGGGGAAGGAAGATGGGGTGAGAAACATTGATGTGAGAGCAAAATATCCATTGGCTGCCTGCTATATGCTCCCTAGTAGAGATTGAGCTTGCAGCCTAGGTATGTTCCCCTCAACTTTCTGCCTTTTCTTACTACTTTTAATGAACAGGAAATTCTCAAGATTCATATTTTTGGTTTTCTAGTTTTAAATAAGTGATCAGAAAGTTCAAAAGGCATTTTATTCCTGACACTGTGGTTGTTGAAAAAAAAGCTTGGTCTCCATTATCCACAGAAAAATGAATTTTAATACCAAATCTATTAGTCTTTGTGACCTTGGATAAATCTGTCTCTCAAATGTTCCAACCAAAAACTAATGTAATTTTAATTATGTCATATGGTTATTATACTGGTCTAAAAAGTGGTTGAAAGCACAAGATCAAAGTCTAGAATACAAATAATGAAATTTTATAAAGTATCAGGTTAATTTATAAAATTTCTGTTTTATTTAATAGTGATTAACAAATAGTTAATAAGGTGCAATGAATGTTATGATAATTTGAATTTAGCCTCACAACTGGCTCACCTTAAAAGAGGCTAACAATGTTCAAATAGAAAGAAAGAGAGTGACATCAGGAGCAATACAAGAGAGAGATTTTAAAAAGCTGATAAATCTTACCCTGACTTGTCAGTGAGTTCCAAATTGAACTTGGCACTGTCTACTTCTTGACTGAACATGGTAGCATAGAAAAAACAGGTATGTAAAGCACCAAGAAATCCTTATTTTTTTTTCTCTTACGACACCATTTACATGTGTGAATCAAATAGTTCTATGGATTTGCCAGATTACAAGATGTTGAAGAAGTATAAAAAGACCACAAATTATATAATTTCTTGTTCTTTATCTCTTCTTTCATATCAAAGAAAGTTTATAAAAATGTGCATAACAGTTAGTGGGGTTATTATATGGACCACCTTAGAAGAATTCTAATTAAAAATATTAAAACTGTTCAGTAACTTAACTATATTGTAACAATATTATTTGATCAAGCACACTATAAAGTATAATGCCACAGTTAAGCACTACTACTTAAAAGAGTGAATATTCAGTGTCATCTAATTTTAAAATCTTACCCTTTGTATTATTTCATTTCATCATTATTTTTAATGAGGACTGTAAGTAACAATGTTTCTATAGTTTATGGAATTATCACTTTGATTTTATTTACCTGGAGCTACTCAGCCTGCTTAGGTATATGACCTACTGAAAAAGTGGCATCCTATTGACAACTCCCTTGAATTGTATTATATTTCCTTAATTCCTGAGGTATTTATATCTCACATAGCCTGCGTTGTATTTTTGAAGTTTTCATTTAGCTCCTCCACTTCCCCTGGACCAATATTGAGTTCCAGAACAAATTTAATAAAAAAGTAAACACCTCACTCAATGTAAGTCCAATGTATGTAGTCACAACGTGAGTCATTCTGCCCCTGACCATGAGCTATCAGTAGATTTGATAATATTGCTTCCCTCGTGACTGCTTCTTAACTGAAAAACTTTCCCCTAAAGATCACGGAGAACAACTGTGCTGGATTCTTTTACCCTTATCATCAACACTATTACTGCGTGCCGAATCTGTTTCAATTCTGCCCTCCTTTAAAAGTCACTGACACAACAACAAGAAATTGACATTTTGATGAGCATAGCACACTATAGCTACCAAAAAAGAAAAGTCACTCCTCACATCATTTTTAAAGAATGAAGGTATAGCCCTAACCGGTTTTGTTCAGTGGATAGAGCTTTGGCCTGTGGACTGAAGGATCCCAGGTTGGATTCCAGTCAAGGGCATATGACTTGGTTTCAGGCACATACCCAATAGAGAGTGTGCAGGAGGCAGCTGATCAATGTTTCTCTCTCATTGATGTTTCTAACTCACTATTCCTCTCCCTTCCTCTCTGTAAAAAATCAATAAAATATATATTTTTTAAAAGAATGAAGATATATTAAAAAGAATTTTTGAATCATTGTCCCAAGAGGATTCTGTCAATAATTTATTTAACCAATGCCCCGTGAACAAGAAGGCCTGCATTTCAAGTTGCTCAGTACTCATACATTCAAGACTCACTCAACAAATATTCCTATGCCTGCTGTGGCTCAGACATTCTGCTGGGCATTATTTCCCTCAGCTGTCTTTGAGCTGGAGAATTACTCTAGTCAAAGGATATTCAGGCAATTAATAGGGGAGCCATTTGAATACAAGAAATGTATATGGATACTTTAATCTATTATCTTTGATCAAATATTTTTTTTCATGTGATTTTGCATGCATACCCTTCTTTGGGAAAACATTTAAAAATCACATCCAGCCTGGATGGTGTGTTCAGTGGTTGAAGCAGGTGGTCATGGTTCAGTTCCCGCTCAGGGCACATGACTGGGTTGTGGGCTGGATTCTCAGTGTGGGGCATGCAGGAGGCAGCTGATCAATGATTCTTTCTAATCATTGTTGTTTCTATCTTTCTTCCTCTTTGAAATCAATAAAAAAACATATTTTTTAAATCACATCCAAAACTGGATGACCAGGCAATTTGACACTTGCCAGCCTCAATGTGACAGATGTATTCATACCATACTAGTTCTTTAGCATTTTAAATTCTGCTGTTTTCTTTTTTGAAGTATATTTGTTTGAAGTATCATATATATATATATTATTCATTTTTATTCCTATTGATTTCAGAGAGAGGAAGTGAAAGGTAATGAAAGATAGAAACATTAATGATAAGAGAGAATCATTGACCAGCTGCCTCCTGCATGCCCCCTACTGGGGATCAAGCCCACAACCCAGGCATGTGCCCTTGACTGGCATGGAACCTGGGACCTTTCAGTCCACAGGCCGACCCTCTATCCACTGAGCCAAACCGGCTAGGGCCCGGGATATTTTTTTAATGACTTGTCTGCATTTTGATTTGCTTGCTTTTTCCAAGGAAAGTGATTGCCAATCAACATGCACACTTCAGGTATTTTGCTTCAGGGAGGTGCCGGCTGGCTAGCTGCTGTTCTCAGGGGCTGCTCCCACTAAAGCCCTGTGTTTTGCAGGTAGAGAGCTGGACCTAGCATAATTCTTACTACAGCAATTTTCAGCAAATTGTTCTGCTAAAGAGAAATATATTACTTGAAGGCTGGGAGAGTGATGATAAACCTGACCCCTCAGCTCTGCTTTTAAAGGTCATTGTGGTTAAATGTAAGCAAAGTGTGGTACACGGTACGTTTTACTTGCTGTTTCTCACTTATTATCTCCCCTCATGCCTCATTATGCTAACGTAATGACTTATTTGACAGAGCAGTTTCATCTATAATCTCAGAAATATATAATGGATTTAATTTTCAAGGTTATATTTTCAGAAAACTATTAATGTCCCTTTCAAAGTCATTGAGACTGAGTTATGTTTCAGCAAAATATTAAGTACATTAAAAGTCCCTTTTAGATTTGAGTAAAGTCAATTGGTAATCTAGTTGCAATTATTTAATAGCTTTGAGCCTTGAATTGTTAAACTTATTATGAATTATCCATGCTAACCATTATGCTGAAAAATTAAACTCTCTGCCACATTCAAACTTCATCAGAGACGTGTCACCAAAATAAATATGGATTTTTTTTAAAAAAACTGCCAGAGCTTTTCATTTTTAAAAATGTTCATTAGATAATGATCTTGAAGTATTTGGGAAATCTTCTTACCTGAATTGAATAAGATTGCCTCTTATTAAAAAGTGTCTTTTAATTTCCTATAGAACACCGGTATTTATGGATACCATCCCCTCCATCTGCATGCATGGAACCAGGCCACCTAAATTTATGTACATAATATTAAAAACTCAGCAGTACCAGATTATCATAATAATGATTGGGCCTTATAATTAAGCAGTAAAACCTTTTCAGTCTGAGGATAGTTCTCATTAATAATCTGATCAAAAAGCTTAGGAAAGAACACATGTCATCTGGGAGAAGTATTACTAATCGTCCTAAGAAGACAATCTCAGTAATTCTTAGCAAGTAAGGAGCCTATCAGAATCATCATTGGTCCGCATCCTTTCCTTGCACAGGGATTTAGATTTCTCTTATGATGATTACCCTGCTCTCATCCTAGAAAATGAAAGACTTAGCATATGTCAAAATATATAGTTGGATGGGAGTAAATAATATCAGACATATATGCGTAAGCTTTCATGCCATTCTTGATACCTTATAAATTGTACACTTCTTCCAGTTAGAGCTTTATTATCTAAAATGTAGAACCAAATAAAAATACATACAAAGTGTATATTAATGCCCATAAGAAAGCATTGAACCCAGACAGGAGAATTTAAAGTCTTCATCAGAAATAATAGGCGGGGAAGTACATTTTGGTGAGGTTGTGGATCACCTATTATGTATCCTGCTAACTCATTTCAGACATTGAGTATGTATGGGAATTCTGTCCTG